CGAAAAGAGCGCATGTCCATCCGCCCAACACGCCGCCGGTTCGCTGGAACAAGAGAACCACCCACGAAGCCGAGCATGTTTTCGAACAGATGGGGATACACTGTTGGGCAACCATACGACGGCAAACGCAGTGGCGATATGCTGCCAAAGTGGCTTGGGAAAGATGGAAATGGGGCTACACGGCGTTTACCTGGGATCCGTCATTCTGCTGTGGATAATTCAAGGTTTGCTAACAGATGCGACCAAAGACTCAATGGACGGACGATCTTGTGAAGTGCACGAACAATCTGGATTGGCATAACATCGTCTCGTCTATTGAGTGGGCGAGACTCGAGGTGGGCTTCCTTTCCCCAGAAATTGAGTTCTGTGTTCCACGGCAATGAGTATCTAGTGCTTTCTGGAGTGCTCCAGCCCGTGACCGCGCCTAGTCCCCTCGCGTGGGCTCTTGCGCGCGGGCTCTGTCTGCCTGTCCAGAGCATGTTGGAAGTCCTCGTGCACCATCTTCGATCCTACTATGCAGGTTTGGAGGTCATCGCGAGCTCTGTTGAGCCATTTGGGAGCCTTCTTGGATCATGATGGAGGCTCTGACCGCTCCCCACCCACCCCTCTCCTTCTCCTTCTCCTTGTCCTCCTCCTCCTCCTCCTCCTCCTCCTCCTCCTCCTCCTCCTCCTCCTCCCCGCCCAGACCCAGGGCGACGGACTCCCCCCTAATGTTGCGGGCGAGCCCCGCTAGCAGGCGTTCGGACACGGGGCCTGGGGTTGCCCCGTGGCACGCCCGCGCTCCCATGTTGTCTCGAGAGGCCTCCAAGAGTTGCCAAGATCACCACCGACCAGACCACCCCAACCCAACCCGAAGGCCTCAATTTGCCCTCCATTTCCGGTGGGGTGGGCGCTCGGGGAACATTGAAAAAACACGTATGCAACCCGTACCCCCCCAACCCGAAATTCGGGTCTTCGGGTTGGGCTTGGGTGGTCTGGTAGGTAGCCACAAGCGGCCTCCATGACCGATCCAAGGCGCCCAAGGTGGGTTCAACACAGCCCGAGGGGCCGCAGAGACGGCCCAAGAGGACCTCCAAGAGAGCTCCGAGGGGCGAAATTCGCCCCATCCCCTTCGGAAACCGTGCGTTTTTAGCATGCGCCTTTTTGCCACCAGCAGCGCCTGGAGGGTCCTTGGAGGAGCCCAAGACGGGTCCTGCGACCCCGAAAGATGGGTCCAAGCTGGCCACAAAATGGCCCCATACCCTCCCATCTTTCGCAACATCCAACATCGGAGATTCAATCGGCATCGTCCACGGCCCTGATTTGGGCCCAAGCCATGGGATCTCGAAGAGGCCCCCCGAATGGCCCCAAGATACCTCCGAGAGTGTTCTAACAGGCCCCACCGAGCTTCTAAGAGGCCCCCAGAGGCCCCCCCCTAAAGGAGGCAACGGCCAGCACGGCAGACCAGCACGGCAGACCAGGTGCGGCGTGCGACCAGCACGGCAGACCAGTTGCGCCGTGTTGGTTCGGCTTGGCTTGCCGTGCTGGCTTGGCCTGCCGTGCTGGTCTGCCGCGCTGGTCTGCTAGCTGCTGGCCTGCTAGCTGTTAGTCTGCTAGCTGCTGGTCTGCCTTGCTGGTCTGGTCTGCCGTGCCGCTCTGTCGTGCTGGTCTGCCGTGCTTGTCTACTAGCTGCTGGTCTGCCGTGCTGGCTTGGGCTACGGGGCTGGTCTTGTTTGTCGCCGTCTATCGTGCCGTTTATCTCGTGCGCGTTGCGTCTCGGCCTTGTGCCCGGATCTCTGGAACGTCATGGTTTACGGTTTAGGGGTAAGGGGAGTCTTGCGGCGTGGGGTACGGGGGCGGGGTAAACCCTTCCCCGAAGGGGAACCAGGGGTTTGATCAGGAAGCGCTCTAAACCACCTCCGCCTAGAGGGCTAGTGGGATTCGGCCCCTGAAGCCCTCGCGACATCTTAGTCAGAGTGAGGGGGCCGAACAGTCATTCATTGTCCCTGGGTGCGTGGCTGAAGTGGGCTTCCGCGGTGCGGATTGTTGTTGTTGTTGTTGCTGTTGTTGTTGTTGTTGTTGTTGTTGTTGTTGTTGTTGTTGTTGTTGTTGGTGTTGTTATTGTTGTTGTTAATGTTAGTGTTAGTGTTAGTATTAGTGATCGTGCTAGTGTTAGTGTTAGTGTTAGTGTTAGTGTTGAACTTTCATTTCTGAAGAATAATTATTGTTGATCCCCCCCGTCTGGTGCACATTGTATTTTTCGATTGAAGTGCCCTTCCCGGGGCTCGCACCTTGTTTTCTTATCAGGGAAAGTCTTGAGGGTCAAATTGTCCTTAAATTCAGACTTCCTCACAATTTAGCCAGGACCCCCGCTCCCGCCCGAGACTTACTCGCATTTTATCCAGGAATCGCGCTATCGCTTGGGACTTCCTTATAATTGATTTGGGACTCGCTCTCCCGGCGCTCTGGAGTCGCGCTCTCGTTGGAGATTTGCTTGCAATTTGCTATAGAATAGCGCCTTTGCGTTGGACATTCTTGCAATTTACTCAAGCGCCGCGCTCCCGACACCCAGGCACCCAGGAGTCGCGCTCACGCTTAGCATTCCCTTACAGATTACCCAGGAATCGGGATCTCGCTGCCCTTCGTGGCCCCGTTGCAGCCCTTCGTGGCCCCCTCGCATTGTTTCGTGGCCCCGTTGCAGCCCTTCGTGGCCCCCTCGCTTTGTTTCGTGGCCCCGTTGCAGCGCCTCGTGGCCTCCTCGCTGCCCTTCGTGGCCCCGTTGCGGCCCTTCGTGGCCCCCTCGCTTTGTTTCGTGGCCCCGTTGCGGCCTTTCGTGGCCCCGTTGCAGCCCTTCGTGGCCCCCTCGCTTCCCTTCGTGGCCCCCTCGCAGCCCTTCGTGGCCCCCTCGCTGCCCTTCGTGGCCCCGTTGCTGCCCTCAGTGGCCCCGTTCTTGCCGTCCGCGGCCCAAAATACGTATGCCCTTCGTGGCCCCCGCTCGTTCGCGCCGGTTTTGGCCCCATGTGCATGCCCTTCGTGGCCACGCTGCCGCCGTGTGTGGCCCCCTCACTATCCTACGTGGCCCAGTTGCTACCTTCAGTGGCCCCATCGTTGCCTTCTGTGGCCCCGCATTATCTGCCTTTCGTGGCCTCCGCTCGTTCGCGCTCTTCGTGGCCCCATACGTATTCTCTTCGTGTCCTTCGTGTCCTTCGTCGCCCTTCGTGGCCTACTTCGTGTCCTTCGTAGCCCTGCTGGCGATCTCTCTCGCTCTCGTTTTCGCTCGTCGTCGTCGTCGCCGTCGTCGTGGTCGTCGTCGCCGTCGTCGTCGACGTCGTCGTCGTCCTCGTCGTGTTCGGTCCCCTGTCCGTCGGGTCGGGTCGACGGTCCGCGGCCGCCCCGCCGATCAGCGCTGCCGCTGGCCAGGCCGACGCTCCGCGGCCGCCCCGCCGCTTGCCGGGGCCCGGCCTGCAAGAAAGAAAGGTATACCCCCCAAAAGGTGTTCGATCGAAGACGGAGAGGGCGGGTATCGAGGGTTTGGGAAATACGCGTTATTGGACACTCGAGCAGATAAGGGCGAACAGTCTTAAAATTATTGTTTTTGTTGTTGTTGCTGTTGCTGTTGCTGTTGCTGTGGCTGTTTGTTGTTTGTGGTCGTCGTCCCACCCGCGACCTGGTTGCTACCCGGCCGCGACCCACCCGCGACCCACCTGCGATCCACCCGCGACCCACCCGCAACCCGCCCCGCGACCCACCCGCGACCCACCCGCGATCCACCTCGCGACCCGCGCGCGATGCACCCTCGACCCACCCGCGACCCACGGCGCGACCCACCCTGCGACCCGCCCGCCACCCACCCGCGACCCATCAGCGGCCCGCCCGCGACCCACGCGCGACCCACGGCGCGACCCGCCCGCGACCCACCCGCGACCCACCTGCAACCCACCCGCGACCACCCCGCGACCCACCCCGCGACCACGCCGTGACCCACCCCCGACCCATCCCGCTCCCGGCTCCTCATTCCTATCCGCATTTGCGGGGTGTTGCACCATTCTTAGACAAACCAGGGCGTGGACATGGTTTCTGGAAGCCGATCACTTGTAAAAAGCTACCATCCCGATCTGGTCTCGGCTCCGGAGGTATTTCGGGTAGGGGCTGTCAAGCCTTTGAAGCGACCCGTGCCGTCATTTTTCTCACGGCGCGGGTGGTCGGGACAAGCAGGCTGCAGCCACACGCTCCAGTGCTCGGCGACGGCTGCGCCTGTCATTGACGAATGCTCCCCTCCTCGCCTTTGCCCAGCCGTCCTTGTAAGCTTCCAGGAAGGTGGCCCAGTTTCTCAGACCAACGTAGGCGGAAGATTGGGTTGGAGGAGGAGGAGGAGGATATGATGATGATGATGATGATGATGATGATGATGATGATGATGATGATGATGATGATGATGATGATGATGATGATGATGATGATGATGATGATGATGATGATGATGATGATGATGATGATGATGATGATGATGATGATGATGATGATGATGATGATGATGATGATGATGATGATGATGATGATGATGATGATGATGATGGGATAATAATCGTAGAGCATGAGTGTTGATGTGGACCGACAGTTTGGGGTGGGATCGTGGAATTTTCCTTGGAGCCTCGGAGCCCGCAGGGGCGTGCCAGCGTGTTGGGGGGCCTTTTCGCCGGAGGGCCAAGTTCCCGGCCTGGCTCCCCTCGGCCCTCCAAAACGGGTGGGCTCGGTAGGTTGTGTTTTGGTTGCCCGTGAAGGCCCCCCTGCCCTCGCGTGTGCTGCACGGCCTGCTCCGCAACCGTATCATTTGGCTCCAATCTGGTACAGATTATCGCGAGGTTTGGGCGCCCAGCCCACCTCGCTGCAGGGCGCGGCATGGCGCCCTGACGGGAGCAGCGGACTCCACCCGTGGAATCGAAGACGCGTGCGAGGCCGCGGCGCGCTGCCCAGGTGCAGCAGGCCGCGGCTAGCTGGTGTGCTGGGCGCCCCGCGCCGAGGGCGCGGCAGCGGCCAGGCGGAGCTGGATGGCGGTCTCGGCGGGCGCCAAGAAGGCAGGGACCGAGGCGCTGCGGGCCGCTGGTGCGGACGTCTCAGACGACGAGGTCGCGGGGCTCGTCCTGAAGGTGCGATCGACGTTGAACGCGGGGCGGGCCCCCCGCTCGAAGCTGGACGAGGCGCGACGGCTGGAGGCAGCGCTGGACCCGGTGGCCGTCCGCCTGGCTTTGGGGAACCCTGAGGTCCCGGGCTCCGAGATGGCCGAGGCCCTCTGGGGGTTCACAGAGGCCGCCACGTTCTCCACTCAGGCGGAGAGTCGGATTCGACGAGTAGCCGCCGACACCGATGGCTGGGAGAAGGTCGCGGACCGGATCTGGGCCCGAGCCGTCGGCGAGGACGGGGACACGCTGCCCGCCGACTGGGTGCTGCACCTGGGCATCGGTCTCTTCCTGTCCAGCCTGGTGGTGGTGCTGTGGGCCGACTCCGGGCGGCACCGCCTGGCGGGCGCGGCAGTGGGGCTGTGCGGGACCTCCCTGCTCGTGCGGCGCGTGCCCGAGCGTGTGACCGCCTGGTGGACGCGCTGGGGGCGGCGCTCGGCCTTCGCCGCGGCGCTCAGCAGCGGCGGGGACGGCCTGGACCTCGCTGCCGACGAGGACGACGGCGCGGCCTGGGGCGCTCCGGGGGCCCCGACGCCCAAGGGGAGCTGCGCGGCGACCGCGGAGGCACCGACGGGCCCGCTCCCCCCGCCTGGGCTCGCGGCGCTGCCGCCACCGCCTTGGGCCCCACCTGCCGAGGGCGCGGGCGCGGCTGTCGCGACGGCGAAGCCCGGCTCGCAGGACCTGGCGGCGCTGCGTGCTTTCGCCCAGGGGAGCGAGGTGCCAGGCCCCTTCAGCCAGACGGCGGCCCTGCAGCAGCAGCAGCAGCAGCAGCCGCAGCCGCCGCCTGAGGGGGCCGTGCCAGCGGCTGGGCTCAGCTTCCACGCGCCTCACGCTCCTGCCGATGCTGTGAAGCTAGGGCGAGAGGTGCAGATGGTGCTGGCCACGCTCCGCGAGTTCCAGGCGCAGGCTGCCACGAACGTGTACTGGGCCTGGCACTTCTGGGAGAGAATCGCGGCCGTGGACGGTAACCTGGGGCTGCACCCTGACCTGCGACGAGTGCTGCAGACCCACGGCTACGCGGGCGCGGGGACGAAGTCCCCGCCAGGAGGGTCGCTGCCGCAGGAGCTGGACGCGCTGCTCTCCTCCGCCACGGCGCCGCACGGCGCGGGCATGCAGGCCTCCCCCGGTTGGGCCGTGGCCCCGCAGACCCAGCAGCAGCAGGAGGACAGCCGCTGGAACCTGAGCCTCCCGCCAGATCTGAGGCGCGCGGCGCCGGAGATCTACCGCACCATGCGGGGAGCGGGGGCGGCCAGCGCACGCGACTGGCTGTCGCAGGAGGTGACGGGCCAGCGGCACACGCCGGTCTGGACCGATCTGTGGACCGCCGCCACCAACGTGGACTACTTGCTGGGCGGGTGTAAGACTCAGTCCGAGCTGCTCACCCGCCTGGCGTCCGACGACGCGCTGGAGCTGCACTTGAGGCGGCTGGCGAGCTACGTCTACGAGATGCGGACGAAGGACAAGGTGGGGGCGGCGGCAATGTTGGCTGTTCGCCCGCCCGGGTCGGCCGCCGACTTGGCCCCCACCTGGCTGGTGACCGAGGCCACGACCCACAGCAAGGCTGAGCACCAGCGCGACGAGAGGGTCCACGCCGCCAGCAAGCGCGACGGCCGAGGCGGCGGCCGTGGCGGGGGACACGGAGGTGGCGCTGGCAGCGGCGCCGAGGCAGCTGGTGGCGGCAGAGGCAGAGGTGGCGACGGCGGGGGGCGCGGCCGCGGCCGAGGGGGTAAGCCCTCGGGCCGAGGCAAGCCCCAGGCCTGACGGTCACTGGCGGACCGAGGGGCTTACGACCCCCCCTCGGTCCGAGAAGGTGCCCCGCCGCCGCGGGTGCAGCCTAGAATGCCAGTGGCGGGTTTGCCTGGTTCGCTGACGCGGGCCCTGCAGTGGAAGGAGGCCGAGGCCCGGTCGTTCTTTCCCATTCCTCTACCTCATCGGCCACAACAAGGAGCTTCCTCTTCCGGCAGGTTGAGGACGCGCTGGGCTCGACGCATGCGCGTGTGGCGTCGGGCCTGCGGGCTCATCGAGCTCATGAATGGGATGGACCGCGGATCCCTGGAGGCGAGACCAGCGGGCCAGCGAGAGTCGAGCGACGACGAGATGATGCTGGCCTGGCGGCTCGTGCAGCAGTACGCGCTACAGGACGCGGCGCGGTACGAGCGCGACTGCCGGGGGCTTGCCCCGACAGGCGGTCAAGGGGCGGATCTTGCCTGCGACAGAGGACCGCAGGACGCCTACACTGGAGTGCGCAAGGGTGCGAGCAGGCACGTGACGATGTGCGCAGCGGCGGTGGCAGAGCCACCTGATGACATGGTCGTGGACCTGCTGGAGGCGCTGCCCGACGGCGAGCGCCAGTATTACTCGGACGAGCGGAACGTGCTGGACTACAGCGGCAAGTCAGGGGTCATCTTCGAGGAGCTGGAGGAACGTTTCGCTTTCGTGGGGGGCTCGACGTCGGAATACGCCCGCTACTTGATGCGGGGCGATTTGCCGAAGGACATGTGGACGTTCGAGGCCCCCTGCGACGTCCAGGCTTACTGCGGGTTCAGCTGCGTGCCCAAGAAGGACCCCGCCAAGCAGAGGAAGGTCCTGATGATGTGCGCCAGCAACTACGTGTGGGCCGACCCGCACCGGCGCGGCGACCACGGGATGCACGGCGGGGCGGCCATCGCCTCCATGTGCGTCCCGACGGACGAGTGGGGCGTGGCGGCGTTCGACGAGGACAACGCCTTCACCCGCCTCCGCGTCCCCGCTTGGATGGCCAAGTGGCAGGCATGCCCGCCGATCCGAGCCTGCTGGGTGTGGGCGAAGCTCAGCCAGCGCCTGCGCGACATGGTGGGGCCGACGGGCTGGATAGCCCCCTGCTACCATCGCCTGGCCATGGGCGGCTCGCACTCCGTGCACCTGCTGATGACGGTCAACATGGCGATCATTGGCAGGGCGCTGCTGGGCGTGGGCGCACGCTTGGGGGCGCTTGCGGGCGCCGCGGCACCCGCCGACGGCGCTGCCAGCGGTGTGCCACGCACCTCGCCGCCCGAGGACGGGGGGCTGGAGAATGGCGACTGCGTGGATGCCGGACCTGAGGACGCTCAGCAGCATCGCTACGACGACGACTGGCTCGGGCAGCAGTCCAGCTGCCGCGCCGCGCCGCCTAGCCCGGCGGGCTACAGCGTGGCAGAGTGGATAGAGGCCGTGAAGCGGGCGAAGAGAGCGGACGAGCGGGTGATGGTGGTGATGCATCTCTTCGCTGGCCGTCGGCGGCGTGGTGACGTTCAGGAGGTGGTAGAGAGGCTGGCGAAGGAGCGGAACTTGAGGGTGATCTTCCTTTCCGCCGATCTCCTGGACGACCCGCGGTGGGACCTGGCCAACCCCTCCACTTTCTCCGCCTTGATGGAGTTGTGCGAGGGCGGCTGGGTGGACATCGTGCTGGGCGGCCCGCCCTGTTCGACCTGGTCGCGGGCGCGCTACAATCGTCGCCGACCTGGCCCGCCGCCGGTGCGCTCGCGGCTGCGCCCCTGGGGTCTGCCAGGTCTCAAGGCCTGGGAGGCCGCGAGAGTCGCGGAGAGTAACACCCCGACGCTGAACTTGTTGGCGCTCTGCGAGGCGTGCGGCCAGAGTGGCGGCGCCTTCCTCATCGGGCACCCGGAGGACCCAGGGCACGCGCCCTACCCATCCATCTGGAACACGAATGAGATGCTGGACTTCGAGACGAGGCGTTCGTCTCGGAGAGCGTGCTTGGACCAGTGCATGCTGGCCGCAGATGGCCGCCGACGGGCTGGACGGGCCGCAGATGGCCTTCTACCTGCACGTCGACGACGGCGTGGTGATGGCAGGGGGCAGCGGCTGCGGCCCACGGGCCACTGGGAAGATGCACCAGCTGGCGGACGCCCTGGCCGAGGCCGGCTTCGTGGTCACCGACCGCACGGAGGCCAGTGACATGCAGAAGGTGCTGGGCTACGCACCGCAGGCGCGTCCAGCGCAGCTGCGCTTGCCTCCGAAGAGGGCACGGGAGCTGGTGCAGCAGCTGGAGGCGATGGGCGCCACCCGCGCCCTCCACACCGAGGAGCTGCGCTCGCTCTTGGGGGTGTGGATCTGGGGCGCACTGCTGCGACGCGAGCTGCTCTGCATACCCAGCGCCGTCTTCAGGCTCCTGGAGAGGTACCCGCACCAGCGGGTGAGCACCTGGGCGACCGTCCGCAGGGAGCTGCGGGCCATGGCTAGGGTCGTCCCGTTGATGTACGCTGACCTGGGAGCCCCGCCAGCGCCCGTGCATTTCGCGGCGGACGCCATGGGCGTCAACGTGGAGGACGACGGCGGCTGGGGGACCCTGGTGACCGACATGGGCGAGGACATCGCGAAGGACTTCATCAACACGGGCGGCAACTTGGGCTACACCGTGGCGAGGCTGGACGGCGAGCTCACTGGATTGCGGCGCCCCGAGCAGGTCATCAGACGGACGAAGCCCTTCAGCCTCCTGCCCGATCGCGTGTTCAAGCCCGACGAGGACTGGACGATCGTAGGAGCGGGCAGGTGGCGTTCGGCCGACCACATCACGCTGGGCGAGGGGCGCTGCGTCGTGAAGATCAGCAGGCTGGCGGCCGCCACTCCTGCCCTTCACCGCACCGTGCTGCCGATCCTGGAGGACAACCAGCCCGTCTCAGGTGCGGTGAGCAAGGGCAGGTCCCCGGCGCACCTTTTGAACCACCTGTTGCGTCAGAAGACCGCAGCAGGAATGGCATCTCGCACAAAGATTTTGATTCCATGGGTGGAGACGCTCAGGCGGCCTGCTGATAAGATATCGAGGTGCCTGACTCGTGCTGAGCTCCGCGGCCTACCTCATGTCGGGGCCGAGGAAGCTGGACAGCACTTCTGTTGAGAAGGTTAAGCCGCACACCCTGGCGGCCTACAGGGCGGCGGCTATGAAGTTCGTGACCTACCTGGACGAGCACGGCTTCGTCCCCGACGGGCCCGAGCAGTGGGACGACCTGCTTGTCGAGTACAAGAACGACATGCAGATGACCAAGTGCAACTTTGAGTACGCCGTCGCGGCGGTGGAGTTCGTCTTCCCACGCCTGAGGAGGAAGCTGACGTGGTCCCACTCAGTGATCGACGCATGGCGAGTGTCGGCTGAGGTGAAGCACGCGCCGCCGCTGGGCCGCGCGCCGGCTAACCTGGCCGCCATCTATTTCTCCTGCTGGGGCGTGCCGCGGCTGGGCGTAGGCCTGCTGCTGCAGGTGGACCGCGGCTTGCGCCCATCGGAGATGCTTCAGCTTAGAGCAAAAGACATATCCTTGCCATCGTCTAGAGGGGGACCTGATCTGCAGCCTAATTGGGTTATCAACCTGGGGGCCAAGTCGGGGACAAAGGCCGAATGGATGCAGTTCGCCATTATTTTGGAGCAGGGCGGAGTGCTGGAGAACCTCTTACACCGAGTAGTCTTGGGAACGCCGCCCGAGGGGCTCCTCTTTCCCTATTCGCTCGTCGACTACAGGCATCGGCTCAAGCAGTTTGAAGCAGCCCTGGGCCTCGACATTCACTGGACGCCTCACTCGGCGCGCGCAGGGTTCGCCAGCGATTCCGTGGCTCGTGGCGTCCCCTTCCAGGACATCAAGGAGGCGGGGCGGTGGCTCACAGAGTCCAGCCTCCGCATCTACGTGGACGTTGTCACCGCCTCCCGGGTCCTGGCTCAGGCTGAGCAACGAGGGATCGCCCCGCTCATCCGCGAGGCGGCCGAGAAGCTGCCCAATTACTTCCCGGAGGGCATCTTCGGCGAGGGCGAGGGCATCCAGCATGCCGCCAGCGGGCTGGCGCAAGGGCCAGGACGGCGCCTGGGTGCTGCCTGCGCAGGGAGTCCCACCGGCGCCGCTGGCGGGGGGCCGCCGGGTGGCCTCACCAGCGCCCCGGGCGGCGCCAGCCCAGCCGCCTGCGCCAGCACTGGGCGCGCTGGTGGATGGGCTGCTGGCGGGTCCGCAGCAGCCGGGGGATGCAGCGGCGGGCGCGGGCGTGGTCGAGGCCGAGGCGCCAGCGCCAGCGGCCCCTGGCGCGGCAGCGCTGAGGCCCCCGCAGCCGCTGGCGGCGCAGCCGCTGGCAGCGGGCGCGGCCGCGGGGCAGAGGCGCGCGCGCTGGAGCAGCTGGTCGCTGCTGCGCGCGGCCTGGCTCATCGCGAGGTGGTGCGGACGCTCAACCTCGCGAGGAGTGACGTGGGCGGCGGTCGCCGCCTTGATGATCGGGTGGCGCTACGTTGCCGGGCCGCTCGCCCACCTCGGGACCATGATGGGCGTCGTGGCCAGCGTATCCGTCTCGGCTGGCAAGGTGGTCGACAGCAGCCTCGGGGCAGTCATCACGGCTGCGCAAGGCGTGTCCGACTTCGCCGTGACGTCGTCCCGCAGCTCGGCGAGCCTCCTGCAGGAGGCCTGGCGCGGAGTGGACATCACCGACCTTCACGTCCGCCAGCGCCACGCCGAGCGGCTAGCGGACGACCCCGAGATCCTGCAAGACTGGATCCAGCGCGAGTTCCTGTCAGGCGAGCCCCGCCCGCCGGGGGCCGAGCAGGTCGCCACCGCGATCTCTGAGGCTTCGGTGACCATACCCCACATGGCAGAGAGCTGGCAGATGCTGATCTGGCCCGGTCAGTACCGCGAGCTGCACATGACGCTCGACTTGCTGCCTTCCGGGTTCTACGGAGTCCATATGGTCGAGAGGATCGTCAACTTCACCGTTCAGTGGAGTAACCCAATGTGGAGTAGCCTCGACTGCGACATCAGCTCAGAAAGAGATACAGTCGTGGCTCATATCAACTCCACCTTGGCCGGGCTCCCGCTCCCTGAGATCCGCTATATGTCCATGACTGATCGTGAAATCCAGACTGCTAGGCTCCCAGGCGCCTGGATCAACATGGCCCGTAGGCTCTTTCGTGCTGTATATATGGCAGTAAAGAGTGTCCTGCAGCTCATTTTGTTCGGAGTTTAGGGTGGTCACCGAAGATGTACTTCTTCTGGAGCACACTGCGAGGGCGGGCCAATGGGGCTTGCTTTCGGTTTTGATTGTGTTCCAAGTTCCCTTCTCAACTCATTCACGGTCCGAACACATTTTGTGCCCCGGGTGAAAGACCAAGCTGTTGAGACACATACAGCTCGCAAGCGGAGGTGGGTAGAGCTCGGCGGCAAACCTGTAGTTAGCAAGCCAAGCAGCAATTTTGTTGTACTTCTCGCCTCCTTAGCAAAACATTCCAGGGGTGGGTCGAAACGGACACCATCATGGGATAATAATCGTAGAGCATGAGTGTTGATGTGGACCGACAGTTTGGGCTGGGATCGTGGAATTTTCCTTGGAGCCTCGGAGCCCGCAGGGGCGTGCCAGCGTTGTTTGGGGGCCTTTTCGCCGGAGGGCCAAGTTCCCGGCCTGGCTCCCCTCGGCCCTCCAAAACGGGTGGGCTCGGTAGGTTGTGTTTTGGTTGCCCGTGAAGGCCCCCCTGCCCTCGCGTGTGCTGCACGGCCTGCTCCGCAACCGTATCATTTGGCTCCAATCTGGTACAGATTATCGCGACCCCCCCCACCGTTCGGCGGCAAACCTGTAGTTAGCAAGCCAAGCAGCAATTTTATTGTATTTCTCGCCTCCTTAGCAAAACATTCCAGGGGTGGGTCGAAACGGACACCTGATGATGATGATGATGATGACGGATGATGATGATGATGATGATGATGATGATGATGATGATGATGATGATGATGATGATGATGATGATGATGATGGTGGTGGTGTGGTGGTGGTGATGATGATGATGATGATGATGATGATGATGATGATGGTGGTGGTGGTGGTGGTGATTTTGCTGCTGCTGCTGCTGATGAAGAGAGGAGGAGGAGGAGGAGGAGGAGGAGAATGATGATGATGATGATGATGATGATGATGATGATGATGATGATGATGATGATTATGATGATGATGATGATGATGATGAGATGATGAGGATGAGGAGGAGAGAGGAGGAGGGGAGGAGGAGGAGGAGGAGGAGGAGAAGGAGGAGGAGAAGAGGAGGAGAGGAGGAGGAGGAGAGGAGGAGGAGGAGGAGGAGGTGGAGAGCAGAGGGTGGCGAGGAGGAGGAAGAGAAGGGCGAATGAGAAGGCAGAGGAGGTGGAGAGGAGAGAGGATGGCGAGCGAGGAGGAGGAGGAGAGGGAGGGCGAGGGAAGCAGGAGCAGGAGCGGAGGAGGAGGAGGAGGAGGAGGAGGAGGAGGAGGAGGAGGAGGAGGAGTTCGAGTCCGCCTCGTCCCCGCGCCGGGCAGGGGCGGGGCGGGCGCGGCAGCGGCCGCTGGGGCGCGCCCCGCGGTGGCCCCCGCCCCCGCCCCATGCGGGCCGCGGCCTCGCGGGCGCTGCGCGCGGTGGCCGACGCCGTGGAGAGGCGGCCAGGGCCTTCGGGTCGGAGGCCAAAACCAGTTTTCGGTCTCGTTTCAACGAGCCCCTCTGCTCTCCACCTCCTCCTCCTCCTCGCCCTCCTCTCTTCCCATCCCTTCTCCTCCTCCTTCTCCTCCTTGTTGTCGTCCTGACATGTGGCCGGAGGCGAGACACTTGAATCTCAGGACCATCGAAGGAAGAGTGTGTCATTGTGGTGCAACCTCATGTGCTTCGCTTGTGCTGGTGCAAGCAAAGCCCTGGGAATTGTGCTCTCGCCCCATCTTCATGCCATGTTGGTAAGTCTGTAGGTGGTAGCGCGGGGGCGTTCTTTTCCTTTTAATGCTAGATGTTGTGTTCATCGTTTCTAGGTATCAGAGGTTCACCGCGTCAACAGGCTAGCGGTGGGCCTAAGCCGTCGCTCAGAATCGAGCGCCGCTCGAGCAGCATGCTGGCGCCGGCTGCAGGGCGCATGGGGAACGGGCCACACTGGGGGCGAAAGTGGTAGGGGACGAAATAAACCCCAAGCGCCAACCCAGAGGCCCGCTCCCAAACACTCAGCCTCGCCAGCCTCCTGTCCACCACCGCGCTGGTCAGAGGAGGTCTCGAGGTGGATTTGAAGAGGGGCGGGTGGCTTGCACATCCTGCACCCTGGCACACCGGCCTGCGTGATGGCGGTGGTCGCCACCTAGTGGTTCGTCTCTGTTCGTCTCCCTGTCCACGTCACTATCTCCATCATCTCTGTTGCGTTTGTCCTTCTTGTGCCGCCTCTTCGCAGATCAACCGCTTCATCCCCATCGACCTGCTTCGGGCCGAACGAAAGGGGGGATAGGGAAAGGGGGCTTACGAAATCTGCTGCATGCAGCTGGTTTCGGCCCCGCCGCCAGGCCCATCCCTCGATACATGGGCGCCTCCTGACGCCGGGAGGCGCTGGGAAAATCAGCTACGTGAGCTGATTCTCTACCCTACCCTTTGCTATCCCCTCCTTTCGTTCCCCCCGACCTGCTGCGGGGCTCAAGTATTCATGACGTCGACCCCCAGAGGTCTGGACCCCTTCCCCGGGACCGGCTCTTCATCCTGAGTCGTTCCTCGACGGCCCCGAGGCCCGGCAGGGGCCCCCAGAGGCCGAAAACATGGACAAACCCTCCGTCGCCATTTTTTCAAGGCTCGAGGGGGGTGGGCCCCCGTCTAGGGGAACAACAAGTGACATGAACATAAAAACTCGGAGGTCCGCGCGGATTTCTCGGATCGGCGCCCTACCGTCGCCTACCGTCGCCCTGCTGCGGGGCTCACATGTTCCTGTCCGCCATTGCCTTGCTGCCCCCCAGTGCGCTCTCGGCCGGGCTTTGGGCGTAGCGGGGCGGGCGGGCGCCGGCCCGCCGCCACGGACGCCACGAACCTGCCCTCATGCGGCATGCCTCGGAGGGGGGAGGAGGAGGAGGGGGGAGGAGGAGGAGGAGGAGGAGGGAGAGGAGGGAGGAGGGAGAGGAGGAGGAGGGAGGAGGAGGAGGAGGAGGAGGAGGAGGAGGAGCAGGGAGGAGGAGGAGGAGGAGGAGGAGGAGGAGGAGGAGGAGGAGGAGGAGATGCAGGAGCGGGAGCAGCAGCAAGAGCAGCAGCCGGGAGAGACCACCCGGGGGGAAAGTGAGGATTGGAGCAGTGCCCAGGGCCCAGACCCCCCACGTCATGTTTTTTCCAGGACGTCGACCCCCAGAGGTCCTGACCCTTTCCCCATGACCAGCTTATCATCCTGAGTCGTTTCTTGATGCATCCGAGGCCCGGTGGGGACCCGCAGAGGCCGAAATTGGAGAAAAACCGTCGTCGTCGTCGTTCTTCGATCTCGAGTGCGACTATCTCTCGACTCCGCGACTATCTTCGATCTCGAAAGTAGACGAGGTCGTGATATCTTCACGCTCCGGATGGGGTCCGGGAGGCGCGGGCCTGCGGCACGAGAGAGGCGCCCCCCCGCCAGGCCGCCAGTGGCCGCCCGGGCGCCGGCCGTGCGCTTGCTGAGGCGGGTGGACGAGGACGGCCTCGGCCCCCTCGCCTGGCATCGCTCGGACGTGTGCATTTTCCCTTCGGCGAGGACCATCGAGGAGCATCTTGGATCATTTGGGGAAAAAACCACGCACGAAACCGAAAATAAACACAGGGAATGGACGTCCGAGCGATGGCCAGGGGCCTTCCTCTGGCGTTAGTAGGGGAACGAAAAGTGGCATAAACAGAAAAACTCGGAGGTCCGCGGGGATTTCTCGGATCGGCGCTGGACCCCCCTCCCTGGCGCGCGGAGCGCGCCAGGGGCGACGCAGGAGGCGCCGCCGGGGGGGCCCAGCGCCGATCCGAGAAATCCGCGCGGACCTCCGAGTTTTTATGTTTATGCAACTTTTTGTTCCCCTACGTTAGGCACCCAGAGATCCGACGCTCCGAAACGACTATGTGGCCTGTGGGTTTTTGTTATCTTCGGCGGGCTGGACGATCCATCTGGCGGGTTTTGGGTTGTCTTCGGCCTGTGGGGGCCTTCGCGGGGCCTCGTGTACGTCAAAAAACGACGCATGACGGAAAGGCGGCCCGCGGCGGGTTTGGGATTCTTTTCGGCCTCGGGACCGTGACATTTTCCTGGCGAAGGACCCAACAATATGCGGTTGTGAGTAACGCAGTTGTGCGCATCGTCCTCGGTGAACCTCTCTTTGGGGCCACGACGCGTGTGACGGGTGTGCCAGAATTGGCACGGGTACGCCATGCGGATGTTGCCACCGGAGCCGTCGGTGGAGCCCCATGTGAGGCCACGAAACGTGTGAGGGGTGCGCCGAAATGCAGGGTGGAACAGCGTGCGGGCGTTGCCACTGGGGCCTTCGGTGGAGCACCTTACGGGGCCACCGAACGTGCGAGGGGTGTTCCGAAATGGAGGGTGGAACCTTGTGCGGGCGCTGCCACTGGAGCCGTCGGTGGAGCAAGTTACGGGGCCACGAAACGTGTGAGGGGTGCGACGAAATGGAGGTGGAAGTGCATGCAGACCCTGTCACTGGAGCCTTCGGTGGAGCACTCTATGGGGCCTCGAAGCGTGTGAGGGGTGCGTCGAAATGGAGATACAACTGCATGCGGACCCTGCCATTGGGGCCTTCGGTGGAGCACCCGATGGGGCCACGAAACGTGTTAGGGGAGTGCGCCGAAATGGAGATGCAACTGCATGCGGACCCTGCCACTGGGGCCTTCGGTGGAGCACCCACGAAACGTGACAGGGGTGCGCCGAAATGGAGGTGGAACTGCATGCGTACCTTGCCACTGAGGCCCAACACCACAGGACGAAAAATCGGCCCTAGGGAGTGGTCCAGGCCTTTCTGGGGTCCGCGCATCGAAAAAATCGGAGTAGCCGGATGTCTAGGTAATGGAAGAGACACGGGCAGTTTACGCAGGCCTCCTAGATTGGGTCGGACCAGGTGGGATCGGCGGATCGCGCCTCATCGCCGATGCATCGGCGATGCGGTTCGATGTGGAACCCCGTTTTCTGCACACCGACGTCGCTGGTGCATCGCCTGCATCGAAAATGCATCGCCGATGGGTCGGTGACGCATGGACGATGCGG